TTAAGTGTAACGCAAAGTTATATTCAGAAAGAATAAACCAGTTTTATTTAAGAAAGGACTTCTATCAGTAAAGTTTCTTCGGAAATAATTTTTACGGAAAAATTAACAAACGAACGGAAACGTAACAATAGTTTAGTAACGCCCTCAGAGTTGTCATTAAGGATACTACAGTTTAATAGGACAATCAACGTTGTGACTAAGGATATAATAGGTTAGTAAGGCCATCAGGGTTGTGACTATTGATATAACAATTTAGTACGGACAGTAGGGTTGTAACTATGGATATAACAGTTTAGTAAGGCCATCAGAGTTGTTCCTAAAGATACAGCAGTTTCGTAGGACCATAAACGTTGTGACTAAGGATAAAATAGTTTAGTAAGACCACCAGAGTTCTGACTAAGGATTGAATAACAAATCAGCTTTTCTTATCTTAACCAGTATGACATCCTTTATGGTACAGTATATTTTTAATTACCTTAACGGATATGACATCCTTTATGGTACAGTATATTTTTAATTACCTTAACGGATATGACATCCTTTATGGTACAACCATTGTCTGGGGCTGATTAAATCGATGGTTAATGTATCCTCCTTGTGTAAAAGACAATAAATCATCCTTTAATGTATTTAATTCACTTGGAAATTTACTAATGTTTTCCATTTGTGTACTATGGCTTTCTCTCAATTGTTGGAGACTTTCCTCTTGTTCATTTTCTTTCTCCTCCAACCACTGCTGTAGTCTCTCTTCTTGTTTCTTTTCTCATTCTTCTTGTTTCTTTTCCTTTTCCTCCAACAACTGCTGTAATCTCTCTTTTTGTTTCTTTTCTTTTTCCTCCAACAACTGATATAATCTCTCTTCTTGTTTATTTTCTTTTTCCTCCAACAACTGCTGTAATCTCTCTTCTTGTTTATTTTGTTGTTCGAGCTGCCACTGTTTCAGGTTTTCTTGCAACTTCTGTTGTCTCTCTTCTTGCTTCTTTTCTTGTTTATTTTGTCGTTCTTCTTGTTCTCTTGCTGTTCTTGTATTGCTGCCGTCAAATCTCCTAAGCTGTAGTTTGATTTACCACCTTTGGTTACATCTTCTTTTTTCTTTTTCTATCACGCCTCTGGCACCAATTTGTTACGTCTGTGGTCGTTTGTTAATACCCGTATAATTTCTTTCGGATGAAACTTTAGCGATACAAGTCCTTTCTTAAATAAAACTAGTTTATTCTTTTGCAATACAACTTTGCAATACACTTAATGTCCACAGTCCCTTTAACTTAAACAGACGCTGTAATTCACAACTATTTACACACTTTACTTACGGCTTGACTCGATTATCTGCCTCTATCTCCCTGTCTGCTATTCATTTATTGCCGCCACTTTATTTGCCGGCTTATATACTATAAAAGCGCGAGTCTAGCAAACGCTCGAGCCTTCAGGAACGTTCGAGATACTCATTACGTGTTAACAGCGTCACTGACTTCCGCTGTCGTAACAATATGAAATAAAACAACGTTTCGCGACTGTTAACGTGGCATCATCAGGTACTGAGCACAACTAAACATAATAATTAAATATCATCTCAGAAGTTTAACTGTCATGTTCTTCAGCCGAATGGGCATTACCCACCAAAATTAAGAAACCATTCTACTATCTTAAAATAAACCCACAAATAAGTTAAGAACTCTGCAATTTGTCTGTGATTCTAACTCCACGTATATCATATATTTCTGCATTTATTTCCGGGAATTTTTAGCCACGGCTAAAGGGCTAATAGAATGACTCTAAGTTGTTTCATATACAAACTTTTAGCTCATAGCTTCGTCATCTCTTGACCGTTTTGAAATCTTATTACAGTTTTTGACTAAGGAGGTCAAACCGTGTTGACTGATGTATTTGACCACGCCCAAGGTCTCATAGATTAATTTACTTTAATGCTGCCTCAAATAATTTCAATTTGAGGGTAGGCTGGTAGAGGTATTGGTGAGTAATAAAATCGAATCGGGTGCACGTTCGCCCCACGCTAGGTATTGCTTTCGCACGCACACACATACACACAAGAAGCTAATATAAAGAAAGAAAAAAAGGTCTCGTAGATTAATTTACTCTAATACTGCCTAAAAAATGTCAAGTACCGCGGCTTTTGAGGATTCTTTCTTGTTTGAATTAATTTCGTGTTGGCAATATTTTCTTGTACGGATGTTTTGATTTGGATTATTACCCTGTTGGTACATTTTAAACTTACTGTTGCACCAAAAACTTCAAATGTTCTTTCACACCATTCGAAACACTATTTTAGTGAACAATATACATCAGATTTCTTTATGTAAATTAATTATCTGTGCTCATTTTACAGCATATTTCTGAGTATGCGCTAATTTTTAGCCATGTTAAAACTTCAATTCTTGGAATAATGTTAACACTTCACTGCTAATTATTCAATTGTAACAATAGTGTTGGTGATTTAAAATAAGCGTGAACAATTCATTATGAGGACATGTATAAATCATCAAACCCACTCAATCCACATTCATTGGTTCTCAGTAATTGGTGTGAAAAATGATATCATGATAATATTTTTGAGCTGAATAGCTATTTGTATTATAAACTCAAAGTAATACGCGAGTATAAGACAAAGACACCGTTAATGTCTTGCCTTCGGTGGTTGCCATTCTTATAGATCGAGACATAAATTTGTATGACGTGCGGCCAAAACATCCTGCAGGACACACTGCGTGACATTATTGTTTGTTTGTTTGTAATTAAGTACAAAATTACACAATGGGCTATCTGTGCTCGGCCCACCACAGGTATTGAAACCCGGATTCTGGCGTTGTAAGTCAGCAGACATGTCGCTGTGCTACTGGGGGTGTGTGCTATTAACAGGAGTGACAGTTAAGTGGTTTTTCTCTTTCTGTAGCTCGGACTGGTGTAATCCAAACTGTCACATATTTTCAATGGAGGTACATAAAGGATCCGTACTTCATGTACCAAATTTCAATGCAATACATTAAGGAGTACATGAGATATTAAATCTCCCATTTTTATTAGTATTTTTTTCATTTTTCTTTTCTTCACATCGAAAGTACAGAAACTTTATTTGCTAAAAAAACATACTTACCTTTTATGGATTTGTTTTGAAATTTACAACCTACAATTAGGTGTCAAATTTGGTTTAAATATATACCACATATGCAAAGTCATTCAACAAAAACCGCTCAAATTTGACCATGAGCTATCGGTCTGATACTTTTTATTACAGCTTCACCTAAGAGTAAAAGTGAACAGTTTTTTTTTTTTTCATTACGATTAAAAACGGCTAATTTAGAGCAAGAAAACTGTAGGGTGAAAGGACGAGAAAATACATAAGCATTAGTTAGGCCAAGCAAACTAGATTATCAGTTCCTAGCCCAAGTGGATGGTTATTATTTATTATTCATTGCCAACTTTTAAATACAAATTTGCTGAATTTTATGAAATTCTCCTAATTAAGGAGCGTTTAGCGTCACGTGATATTAGCATAAGCAATTTGCGTAAATAATGATGCTTGATACGGCTCTACCGAACGCTTGCGTGTGGTGACAAGAAACTGTTAATCCAGATTCTATGGCGTTACTATAACGGAAGCTGTTAATACTGTTTTAGATAGGAAAACTACCACCATATATTTTAAAGAAACTAGTTGTTTCTGTAAAGTATTGGTCTGTTCCGAGTAATAGGATTGCAATCCTAAAGCTAATGTTGGTAACAATCGCGTGTCATTTTCTTAATTGCTGTGGTTTGTTGGTGTGTATTGAGAAAAAGTCATGATATATAATCAAAAATATCTTAGTTGTGAAAAGAAGGTGCGGTCAAAAAAGGATTGAGCGTGCAACTTAACTGAATGAAATCAAATTTGGCGGCCAAAGTAGCTATACTTATAGCACCTTTTTGGCCGCACCTTTTTTTTTTTTACACCTAA